TCCTCTTTGTCTTCACAGTACTTGTGCCATGAAACATAACCATGCCCTCTGTTGTCTGTTTGCCTTTCTACTGCTCTACAATTTCTTAACCTGGAGTAAAAGCATGCTATTCTTAACTCACACTGCCACCAGCCAGCCTAAAAGTCTCGAGCATAACCTCACCATCCTCCTATGGCACTGGCCATTTGGAGTTCATTACAGACTACAAAGAGGCATCTGTATGAGTCAATACAAAATCCCTAAATGCTTCCTGGAAGACAACAGATCCCTTTTCTCTCAAGCAGATGTTGTAGTCTTCCACCATCATGAGCTCTGGACCGGATACTCCGAGCTTCCTCTCCATTTGTCACGTCCACCAAAGCAGAAGTGGATTTGGTTATCACTGGAGCCTCCCATTAACAACCGCGACCTGAGGAACTACTCCAGCATCTTCAACTGGACCATGAGTTACCGTCGAGATGCTGACATCTTCATGCCTTACGGAGAGCTTATCGCCAAATCGACTAACACTACATATGTCATTCCCAGTAAAAGTGACTGTCTGGTTTGTTGGGTGGTCAGTAAATACAAATCCAACCAGAGTCGCTCTCTAGTTTTCCATCAGCTGAAAAAGCACATTCCTTCCAGACGTATTGAAGTGTATGGTCAATGGACAAACCGGCCACTCTCAAACAAAAAGCTGCTATCCACCATATCGCAATGTTACTTCTACCTAGCATTTGAAAACTCAATATCCACAGATTATATTACAGAGAAGCTGTGGAGAAACTCTTTTCAGGCAGGAAGTGTGCCGGTAGTGCTCGGCCCACCACGGAATGTTTATGAATTATATATTCCACCAGGATCTTTCATCCATGTGAATGACTTCAGCAGTGTTAAGGAACTGGCTGCTTTCTTAAATCAAGTTGCTGCTGACAGAAAGCGATACGAGTCTTATTTTAAATGGCATCTTCATTATGATGTTAGAATGTACACCGATTGGAGAGAGAGATTGTGTCATATTTGCTTGCATCATGAGCAGCTTTCTGAGCATAAAAAAGTGTACAATGACCTGTACAGTTGGGTCAATCGATAACCTTGCGTCCATATTGACTTTTGTGACTTTTTTTGTCATAAATAATCAGTGTTTGATAGAATGATGAATAATGCATTTCAATAATATGAAATAATTAATGAAAATAAAAATAAATGAGAACATCAAGGTTTGTAGATTTTCGTATAGTTACATCTTATTTGACATATATGAATCTTTTAACATATATTGTTTGTGGTTAATGCATGTTTAAAGTATTAGTAGTGATAATAATAATGTTTAACCTCTATCAGAGTCAGTGTTACCAGATACAGCAGACTTTTTCCCAGCCCAAAAGTTGTCCAAAATCTGCTCGAAGGCACAAAAAATGCTCAAAATATTAGATTAATATTTTATTTAATTTGAATTTATTTAAATCAAAATTAACCTAGCTACTTTAACTGTTATATATATTTTAAACCATACAGCTACCAACATCAGCAGTCACAGAACCACAACATAATTAGATCACATCGAAACACTGCCCCCCTCCCACCCACACTGCGCTTATTAATGTGTAAATTACACTACCTATAAGAGTATGTTTTATTTTAGTAATGGAGTATTCATTTGTCCCATTTGGCGTTTTACATTACTTTGAACATGATTAGTTGCTGCTTGCAAATCAGATAACACTTTTATGTTTGTTCTTGCTGTGTTACGATAAACTGCAGTGACTTTAACTGCAGGCTCTGAGTGATGCGCGTGCATGGGAGAGTCCAGCCTGATCTCACAAGAAAACGTAAGTATTTTACGTTTTGCCAGTTTAGTGGCTAATTCGTACGAATTCGTACGAGTTCAGTCGTACGAAATGGTATGATTTTAAAAAGGAGGCGTGGCACCTGACCCCACCCCTAACCCCAACCGTCATTGGGGGATAAGCAAATCGTACTAAATTGTACAAATTAGATTGTACGAATTCATACGAATTAGCCACTAAATGAAAAAGTTACGAATTGCCGTGAGATTGTGTTGGAGAGTCAGATTTTAATACAACTTTCCTTCATCTTCTCTTGCGAGTGGGCCATGTGGTTTGCAATATTCACTGGTCACTACTAACTGAATGGAGTCTATGCCATTTTTTACCCACACAATCAAATTCAAAACCGCCCAATTTGGCGAGACACCGCCCAATCTGGCAACACTGATTATAGTTTAATTTTGCCTTTTTAAGATTTTATTTTAAAAATAAAACATTAGTAAATAAAAAATAGTTTAAGAGGTCTAGGCTTTTAAAATTTTGAAGAACTATTTGCAAAAATGACAAATAATAAGTAAATAATATTATATAAATATACACAAATACAAATATAAACAAGAGATTATGTCTTCTAATATTTAGTAATACCTTTTTGCAATAAATGAGTATGTAAGTGTTTAAAGCTAAATATATAATTTTACTGTTAATAATATGCATTTCGAACAATTATTATAATATACAAAAATACATTTATTTAACATTTGCATTTCTATTATTGTTATTACATTTAAGCATTTTTTAAATATGTATTTACAATAAAAAAGTATTAACTTTTAACTTTAAAATGAATTGACACATTTTTCTTTAAAGAGAATGGATTATATTTATTTATTTATGTATTTATTTATTTAGTTATTTAAACAAATTCATATATTTATAGAGCACATTTAAAAACACAAGACTGACCAAAGTGCTGCACATAGGTCAAAGTAAAATAAAAATACAGAATATAAAAACATAACAATAAGACAAGAGAAACAACTGAATACATTTAAAAAATAAAGTGGTAGAAAAGACTATAAAAATAATATTAAAAGTGAAGCTAAATAGCTCAATCTTTAGGAGAGATTTAAAATAGATAGTTATGGAGCAATTCTAATCTCAAGGGGCAAAATGTTCCATAACCAAGGACCCGCCACAGAGAAAGCTTTGTCCCCTCTACATTTCAGGCTGGACAGAGGACTTAAAAAAAGATTTTGATCACTTGATCTAAAAGATCTCACAGGAGTTTAAAATATTAACAGCTCTAAAAAAGATAAGTTGGGGCTAGATTATAAAGGGATTTAAAGACCAATCAAAGCACTTACAAATCAATTCTGAATTGGATGGGTCAGCCGATGAAGGCCCCTTATTGAAGAGAGGTAGTGTGGTCATATTTCCTCCTTTTAAAAATAAATCTAGCATAAACAATAATAAACAGTGGTGTTAGCTTGTCATTTTATCTCTAATTTCAAGACTGAATGCTGGTAAGCGCTGCTAAATAAAGATGTGAATGCTTGGGGTGGAGAAACACCCTTCCGATACAACATTCAGGAGTTACCATTAGGTTTTCGTCAAATGATCTTACAGTTACACCAATGTGATCATACTTAACCGTACTATAAAAGTAAAATCAACATTAACAACAAAAAATTAACCACCCCTGAAAAGTAGAGCAGATCAGAACAGAAAAAAATATAATACAATAATGCTGCCTACAAAAAGCACAAATGAGTCAGAAGGAAGCATGCCAACTCACCCTTGCATCCGTAGGGTGTTGGTTATAGAAATCAGTTAAAATGTTTACTCAAAAAGGACATTTCCGGTTAATTTTTCTTACCAACAGGCAAGGATGTAGGTAACCCTTATTTTCTTCAGATGCATTAAAGAATATGTTCGATGAAACTATATGGTAATTTATTCAAGTTAAGAACTACCAGCAATTTGAAAGTTTATAAGGTGCCATAAAGATTTATGCAGTAAGTGAAATGATTCTCTGATATCTGCTTAGTAGGTAAATAGCTTAGGTTAGTTAAAAAGATTCTAAAGAAATTGTTTTTATAAGCTCATTTAATACACAAAAATGACCCCTAGAAAGAAAAGTTCCATTATGACCATATTTGGAACAGTTGTGCATATTTATGAGCTCTGCTTTGACTCCAGCACTGTTGTGCAGCTGTCTCCTCTGCTCTCTTTCTTTCTCTCTTATACACACACGCACACACATACACACAGCATTATATACTCTGAAACAAACATATGCTATGCAACATAATCATACTTTATTTGAGAAATTATATTTTAACAAATTGAAAAGTTTGCATGTGGCATCCCTCAAGAAATATTAACAATTTCTCAATATCCTTTTGTATTATTTTCCTTTGGTATTAACTGCAATTTTTAATAACTTGCAATGAGTCTGTTACAGTGTTGTGCAGGAATTGTGGCTTATTCATCTTTGTAAAATGTTTGTAATTCAGCCACATTGGAAAGCTTTTAAGTCTGAACCGTTTTTTTAGGGGCATGCCACATCATCTCAATTGGACTCAGGTCAGGATTTTGACTAGGCCACTAAACTGAGGCCTACAATTTTTAGATGTTGTTGTGGGGGTGTTTTGTAACCTCTTGAATGAGTTATAGCTGCACTCTTGTGGTCATATTGGTTGGCAGGACACTCCTGGGAAGGTTCTCAACTGTTCCATTTTTTTGACATGTGTATATTGGCTCTCACCTTGGATGGTTTGCTGTAGTCCTAAAGCATTAGAATTTGCTTTGTAATCTTTCCAGACTGGTAGATGTCAATTATTTTCTTTCTCATTTGTTTTTGACTTCTTTTTTTTTTTAATCTCGGCATGATGTCTAGTAGCTTTTGAGGATCTTTAGGTCTACTACACTTTGCCAGGCAGCAAAGTGATTTTTTGATTGTGTACAGGTGTGGAAGTAATCAGGCCTGGGTATGGCTACAGAAATTGATCTCAGGTGTGATAAACCATACACTGTAAAAAGTTCTTCAAGGGTGTTGTCCATAGGAATTAATTTTAAAAAGTATATTTCTTCCAATAAATTGATTACCTTTCCATTTTGAATTAATTTAAGCTTTACATAAGTAAAAATTGCGATTGTTTTTGTAACTTATTATTACCCATTAAAAAACTGTTTTTTACTGACCTTCAAAATAAATTGCTTCAACAAAACTCTATTTAAGTGTTTATATCCAAAGTAAAACTTCACGACCCGCCCACATGACGCAGCACGCATGCAGAGCAACGACACCGTTGCTCATACCTGTACCGGACCAGTTTCGACGTTCTGTGGAGTTTTTGAGGGCTTTATACAACGTGCAACACATGTAAGTAACTGTTTACATTGCATAAAGTTAGGTTTTAGCCGACTGATCACGCATTTATTGCACTGTAAAATGTAAACAAGTCGCCTTTCATGACAGTAACGGTTAAGTTTGTCAGTTTGGCAAGCGCCATGCGGCCTTACCGAAAGTACGGAATTTAACATTAATCTTAAAACAACTATCGCAAACGTAGGATCGACATATGTTAGATATATTGCCAGATTATGTTTCTACTTTGTTTTGTGTACTTTTTACAAAAAAACATTGTCATTTTGTTTGTCTAGTATAGCTTTGGTGAAAGGGAATTATTCTGTCTCAAATCATTCGTCTTAAATGTTATGCCTCTTTCCGAATTAGCTAGCAGAACACCACTAGCATGGGCTATCTTACTCGTACATGTGTCAGTTATAAGTTAACGGCTAAGTTTGTAGTCACAAATGTATTTCCTGCTTGATTGAAAAAGATGAGGACATTATATTTTTACCACCTATCTCTGCAATGTATCATAAAAATTGTTTAAGGTTTAACTTTATCTTTTGATAATTTGTTTGAAATATTTTAATTTGCCTTAAATCATTTGTTCAATTTAAAAGATTAAATGTTTATTTGCATTGCAATATTATCAATGATCCTGATGTTTACCTAAACTCTTCTTTTAATTTGTGTTGCTTTTTTAGAGAGATGTCAGAAGCATAAATGACATGATGGCTAGGACATATAGCTGGGGGAGAATGGAAGTGGTTGTCCAGAGCCCAGATGTGCAAAAATTAAAGAAAGATGGCCTGCCCAGGTAAATGATTTATCAATGACATGCTGCTTGGCAAATAATGGTGAACAAAGATGTTTATGTGATGCTAGACACACTTTTTGCTGAACACATACTGAAAATTTTACCTCACATGTTTTATGGAGGATTTCATTACATAGGAATAAAAGGTTGCCAATTCTTTACACATTTGGTTCCAAATAACAGACAAACAATTGATGTATTACAGATAAATGAAGAATTCCAAAGGTGTACTGGTGTTCCACAAGAATCGGTTTTTATGTCCCAGCTGGACAAATACACTCCAAAACTTCTTGACCTGTTTAGTGCGAAGGGTGCAGCGACTGGTGAAAACATCAATTGGAGTTATTGGAACTGATACAGGTAAGGCAAACATGGTAACAATGTGGCTGATGCATGTTTATGCAGTAAGTACTTTATTTACTCATCTTGCCTAATAGGTAAATAGTGCAAAACAAAGTCATTAATTTTAAGGGTAAATATAAAAAAAGCGTGTGTGTGTGTCTCTGTGTCTGTGTATATGTATGTGCGTATGTGTATGTATATATATATATATATATATATATATATATATATATATATATATATATATATATATAGATGTATGTGTGTTATTTGTGTATATATGTATATGTGCGTGTCTGTGTGTGTATATATAGATAGATAGATAGATAGATAGATAGATAGATAGATAGATAGATAGATAGATAGATAGATAGATAGATAGATAGATAGATAGAGTTGAACTCTGTTGAATAGGTTGTACAGAACCACACTGATAATGACATTTTACGTTTGTAGTTATATTGCCTGCAATATTCATATTTTTCATTATTCACTTACCAACTATAGGATACAGGTTCCTCTGTGGTGAGGAAGAGAGACGTGGCTTTGAGATGCTCGTGAATACATGGGAGAGAGTGGGCAAAAGCTGATCTCTGACTACTATGTAAGTATTGTTTAAAAAGCATAGTTTGACTTTTTTGGGAAAGGCACACATTCCTCAGATATCAATCTTATGTCTGACTGAATTATAGTACAAAGATGGAGCTCTGTCAAACATTCGAAACACGCCTACAAACACCTAAATAAATATGCAGGAACCAGGGTCCCAAGTTAACCTTTTGGACTTTTAGTTGCTTGTAGACTTGATTTAAAAAATAATGTCATTTTTAACTGCAGTTTCACAAAAGTAAAATCCTTGTTTTACATGATGCAAAAATCATAATCATCTGACAATATAACTGTCAGAATGGCTTTTTCAGTTTTGCCACTTATTGTTCTGTTTTTTCTCATACAGGGAAAAACAGAGAGCAGTGTCTATGAAGACTTGAAAATGCGCAATATGCAGATATATGTCTGCCGTGTTCCAGATGTGGTGGGCATCATCATTGAGGGCATCCCTGTGCTTACTCGTCTTGGAAACCACGCCAGGGCTATGAACTTGCAGTATCCACCACAACTCAGCAAAACATTTTAGGTGTTTCAAAGACATTTTGTGGGACTTGACACACTGCGTCCAAAGTCTTCCTCCTGATTCATGACACAAAAACTTCTGAGTTAGTTAATTAGTTGCCGCTCAGAGGTTCTGTTTCTTTGCTTCATCACTTTTGTTCAATGGACAGTTTGACTTGGAACAATGTGGTAGTCACGCACCGACTTCTTCAGTTTCTGGATAAGTCTGCAGCAAATATGGGCATTTGATTTGCTTTTGTATATATGGGGCAAAGTTTGTTTTGTTATGTCAAATGCTGAGATCAGAGGCACTTTATTTTTTTTATTTCAATGTTGTAGTACATTTGAAAATGTACTGTACTGTGTACACAACAGGCATCAGTTGGACACCTCAAACCCCCATGAGGATCCACACACACACACACACACACACACACGCTCAGTTTTAATGGGTAAAGTTTAGAAGGGATACAGCTGCAGATACTCGCATCATTCATTCATTTTCCTTCAGCTTAGTCCTTCATTTATCAGGGGTTGCCACAGCGAAATGAGCCACCAACTACTCTGACCTATGTTTTACACAGTGGATGCCCTTCCAGCTGCAACCCAGTACTGGGAGACACCCATACACACTTATATACTATGGCCAATCAATTCCCCTATCGCACCTGGAGGAAACCCATGCCAACATGGGGAGAACATGCAAACTCCAAACAGAAACACCAACTGACCCAGCCGGGACTCAAACCAGCAACCTTCCAAGGCCACAATGCTAACCACTGAGCCTACTTGCATAAATATAGCATCATTTTTGTGACATTGTACAACAATTATATGTATATATTTAGCGTACTGTGAGGGTTGGGCTTAAGTTTGGGGTAGACCTTAATAAAATACTGTTTACTGGGTAATTTAATAAATGATACGAGTATATTACTGCTTTTACACTGTGAAGGTTGGGGTAGATGTTAATAAAATGTATTTAATTCAAATTTTATGGGTATTGTAATATATAATCTAAACTATATGATAACAATAATATTAATTCCTCACATCTATATAGCGCTTAACTGGGCACTCAAAGCGCTTTACACACATTGAGGGGAATCTCCTCATCCTCCACCAGTGTGCAGCATCCACTTGGATTACGCGACGGCAGCCATACTGCACCAGACTGCACACCAGCTGATTGGTGGAGAGGAGACAGAGTGATGAAGACAGTGATGATATGGGGATGGTCAGGAGGCCATGATGGACAGAGGCCATTGGGCAGATTTGGCCAGGATGCCAGGGTTAAACCCCTACTCTTTTTCCAAGGATATCCTGGGATTTTTAACGAGCACAGAGAGTCGGGACCTCGGTTTAACGTCTCATCCGAAAGATAGAATGGTTTACTTGTATCGCTTGTTGCAAAAATGTTTTCAATTATTTTCTTAAATTCATGAATGAAAATATACAATTACAATCAGGAGATCAATATAAGAGAGATACAAGAGAGGGAAAATACAAGTGACATTAACAGCAGGTAATGTCACCTGTAAATAAACAGGGGAAAAATAAACAGGGGGGCTAATAATTCTGACTTCAACTGTAATAACAAAAATCGGACACATTTTTTTGTTGTTGCACATACAGAAGGATTTAAGCAGTCAACTTCAATCAGAAAATGTGGAAAACAAAAATTCCTAACAAAATAAAAAAGATAAAGTCTTCAGATTCATGTGCAAAATCTATGTAATAATAAATAATTTAAACTTAAAGATAGGAGGAGTGTTTAAATAATAATGCAAGTCAAACCAAAACTTGACACATTCACACATACAAAATAAAAGTTTTACAGTTTCATCATCCTTACCACAAACTGGAGAACGACTCGGAATATCAACATATTTGTAAATAAATGAGATTTTTATTGCAGTATTTTAAAATGCCTTTATTTTTATTAGGAAGAAAGTATTTATAAGGCAACAACCAAGCTTTTCTCCAGTCTACATTATTAACTAATGCAACCCAACAGAATCTGCCTCACAGAACAATACGATGACTTTGCTGAGGAATTAAATGGATCTGTTCATTCATTCATTTCCTTTTCGATTTATTCCCTTTATTAATCAGGGGTCGCCACAGTGGAATGAACCGCCAACTTATCCAGAATGTTTTACTCAGCGGATGCCCTTCCAGCTGCAACCCATTACTGTTAAACATGCATACATTCTCATTTACACACACACACTCGTACACTACGGCCAGTTTAGTTGATCAATTCCCCTAAAGCGTATGTGATTGGACTGTGACCCAGCCGGGACTTGAATCAGTGACCTTCTTGCTGTGAGGTGATTGTGCTACCCACTGTGCCACCGTGATGCATAAATGATTATGTTTATTATTTTAATGTATTGTATATGACTATTGCCCAGATGCATTACACCAGTGGGGATATCTCTACGAACAGTATTATAATCTCTGAAGTGAGTAGGAAAGTCACGAACAGTCATAAAGCGTTCATAACACAGTAAGTTCCCCAAATCATCAAGTACAGAAAATAATCACTTGTAACAACAACTGCTGGCTGCTGGGATTGACGTCATTTTTGGAAGGCGCGTGCTGCTGGCTCTGACGTCACTCTCGGAACACGCGCGGGTTCTTTTAAACCGTCATTTCTCTGTCGGATTATCAAACTTACATTCCACTTTACTGCTGTTAACACTGTTTCCCAGCGCACGATGGCGAAGACGATTGCGAGAACTGCGAGGTCCATCGCGGCCCAGATAAACGTGTGCTGCTCCTACATCCACAGCAAATACCAGCAGCTGCAGGCCTTCCGCCGACAAGTCAAACGGAGGACCAGACCCAAGCACTGGGACTGGATAGAAGACTTCGAGCTCGAGCACGAGCTGCGCTTCCCCACCCGCGGGCCCCGGAGCCTGCTCAAGCTGCGGAACCTGCAGCACTTCCTGCGGGAAACCGAGCAGGACTGGTGGGACTTTCGGCCTCCGCGGGTGCCCGGGAGACCGCACCGCGTGTTGCGGATAAA